AGCGGGACTGAAGCAGAGATGAGAGGTGAGTGTTTGTGGAAGCTCGGCGCCGAGTGTGCACCCTCAGACGCGCTCGCGATGACCGGTTCAGACGGGGGGGAATGTTCGTTGGGACTGTGCAGGACCGCGGGACACAGGTGCGGGCCGGCACGCAGCCGTTTGCCGGGCAGCGCACTCACGTGGGAGAGCTTTCTCCCCGTGCGCGCGCTCCTGGCACCGCGCTCCCCTGGGCCAGAGGAAGCACGGATACGTAGAGTCTGGGATGGACGCTTAGTGGCGCTCCATCACACTATCCATTCATTTTCTGTTACGCTTAATTCCAGTTGTGGTTGCGGGGGCTGCTGTTGCCTATCTCCAGGTGAGAGGCGGGGTACACCTTGGACAGGTCACCAGTCCATTGCAGGGCAACACAGAGACAAGCAGGACAAACAACCATTCCACACTGATGTTCCTGGACTTCAGTTCAGCTTTCAACTCCATCCTCCCACAGCATCTGACAGGTAAACTGAAACAGCTGAGATTCAATACACCCCTCTGCTATTGGCTGTTAGACTTCCTCACAGACAGACCTAAGTCAGTCCCGGTCAGACAGAACACCTCTGATGTCATCAGTCTAAGCACAGGCTTCCCTCAGGGCTGCATCCTGAGCCCCCTGCTGTTCACCCTGATGACACACGATTGCGTCCCCAGGTTCACCACCAATCACACGGTGAAGTTTGCAGACGACACCACGGTGGTGGGCCTCATCAGAGACGACAACGACCTGGACTACAGAGAGGAGGTGGAGCAGCTGGTGCAAAGATAACAGCCAGAAAGAGAACTATGGACCCCATAAGTGTGGTTCTTACAACTTTCATGTGCCTGGAGGTGAATCTTTTTATATAATAAATCAGTGAAATAAACTATAAACACATTGCAAATGCTAACGGCACATCATATCTGGCATAAAGTAGACGGGTGTCCCAGAAACTACAATGTTTGCTGGAAAATTTTTCCCCACCCAGCAAGACAAGAGAGCGGATGTTTGCTAAATCTGGTCATTTAGATCAAGGTTCATGTATTTATACAGCACATTTCCAACAGCTATAGCCAAACTAATTGCTTTAAAAGCAAAAAATCGCTACGTGTTAAAGAAAAGCATAAAAAAAAGAATGAAAGGTAAAACAAACAAAAAAATAAAAATGGCACAAAACAGCTGCTTAAACAAAACAGCCGGAAGGATAAAATACATCACAGTGAATAATAAGATATAGGAGAATATAATTTACAATAATAACTGTAAAACTAAGCATTGAGGACATCTTGTACTAGAAGCCAGACCATAAAAATTAGCTTTAAAAAGTAATTAGAAATGCTCCAGGGTTTTTAAAGATGTGGCTATTCCAACTCGAGTTTTATCTGTCTTGGGAGGAAACATCTTTTTACACTAGATCTTAGACTTTTCCTTTTTTTCTTTGCATCTACTATGAGCGGTCCACACTCCCTCAACCCCATTGCTGCAGGTTGTTAGCCACACATGCACAGTGTTGTTATTATGGTAAATATAGACAGAGAGGCTATTATTTACTATCAAACTGAGCAAAAACAAAGCTTAAAAGACAAAAGCAAAGCAAATACTACATATTTGCCTTTGATTGAACAGGAAAATAATATGATCTGCCAATGCAATCAGCATTTTTACCCTTAAATAATATTATACACTTGAAACACTTTAAGAGGGTTTTTTTTCTTATTTTAATCCTGTCATGCATTAATTATGATAAACTCTGTCAGGATTATTTCACTAAAGTTTTAAATACATCCTTAGGAATCTAAAACAAGGTTTGAAAACAATCTTTATTTTATAAAGAAATATGTATCTGTCCATTTAAGTGTGCTTTAGAAAAGCAATGATGCCCCACATGAAAGAGTAAAATATTTATCTTCATAAGGAAGGGGTCTGCAACCTGCGGCTCCAGAGCGACATGTTGTCATGGTTTTGGTTATATTGTGCTTTACTTTTCTCTATGTTTCCTAGTTTTATTGGTTTAATTAGTTTTTGTTGTAATTTCTAGATTTGTTAGTTCTCATGTTTTTCTGTTGTCCTCT